AAAACAAAAAACAAAAACCCTTTTCCTCTGTACCAATGCAGAGGATGCTGGGTGGGAGAGGGGGACACAATCCATATAGCCGGCAGATGGTGGGGTGGATTTCAGTCATATTTGACACCTCAGAACAAATTGCACAGCTTTTTACTGCTAACTCTAAAGCAAACCCTGGGCCTCAACTGATGATATAAGTGAGCCTTAAGCCTTTATCTAATTTTATTTGTGAGAGAAAATAAACAGCTTATTGGAAAGCTTCCCTGATAACAAATTTCACTCCCAAGGACAGTGGCTTAGGTAGGCAAATAAGCAGCGGGTGTGTGTGTGTGTGTGTGTGTGTGTGTGTGTTGGGGGGACGAGAATGAGAAATGGAGACTGACACACAGTGGGGAAAAAAGGGCATCAGTGAATATAAATTCAATCCATTTTGATCGACTAATAATAACATAGCAAACTGGATGGCTAAATATAAGATTTTGTATGTCTGTTCTTTTTTTTTTCCCAGACTTGAACATCTGAGTAACATGAGGGGTCCTTTTTGTTTCTTTATCCCCCAAATTTAGTGTCTGACACATCATGTGTTAATGCTTGATGACAAGTACTAAAAGAAATATGAGAAATAGATGATAGATGATGATAGATAGATAGATAGATAGATAGATAGATATAGTGAAGCTTGCGCCTTCTTCTCGGGGTGGGGAAAAAGGTTCAAGTCATACTTTGATTATTGATTATGGAATTTTATTTGAAATGATTCGTAATTCCTTTAAAAAGAAGTTAATTCATGCTAAATGGTGTCTTGAAGTTCTAGTTTGTGGAAAAAAATACATTTTCATTTAAACTGTTGTAGGACCAGTTTGGAGTAAAAATGGATAACAGTTCTGGAACTCTGTAATGCAATCTGTATAGGCCTTAATTACATTTTTTCCAACTCATTTTATTCCCTCATTCAACAAACTTTTACTGAGGTTTTATTGAGTCACATGCTACATTGACTCAAGGAACTCAATCTTGTGAGTGTGAAAAACACAATAATCTATTCAACACAGTGTTTATAACAAAATTTGTGCACAGCATGCTATGTGAGCCTAGAGAATAAGAAGCTAACTTATCTGGGGGGCAAAGGGAATCTGGGAAAGAAGGACCAAAGAAACCGACACTCAAGTGGAGTGTGACATGGTACTAGTTATTCAAGTAAAGAAAAATACGAGGAAAAAAGCATTCAGGATAACAAAACATGATCACACAAACTCAGAGATGATTGTAACTAAGTCAATTAGAATGGATGGTCCAGAGGAGTGCTGGACCGGATGGTCCTGAGTAGAGAGGCTGACATCTAATTCACCATAGATTTCCCACGACACTCTCAGGATTTTCATGCTTATTCTGAGAATAATTGAGATTCCATAACAGGTTTTAAAATAAGGGAGCATCTTAAAAGGTCTGCATTTTAAAAATGTATTCCTGGCAGCAGTGGAAACAATGCCTAGGAGGAACGGGAAATTGGGCAAAGAGACATTAATTTATAACAGCAAGTCAGCAATTCAGCTTATGGACTACTAGGGCTAGAACTATATAGAGTGTACAGACAGAAAAAAAAAAAAAACTTAAAAGAAAATAATTAAGGAAATAGAGCCAAAATGGTTCATTGATTGATTTGATGTGGGCATGACACTCTGGCTTCTGATTCAGATAACAAGATTGTGTTTTGCTGCTGCTGCTGTTGCTGCTTCTTCTTCTTCTTCTTCTTCTTTTTCTTCTTCTCTTTTTCTTCTTCTTTTAATTGCATTCACAGAGCTTAGAAACACAAGACAAAGACCAGGTTTCAGTGGGACCAATAATGAAAGATCTTGACTTTGAGTTTTGAGTTCAAAACACTTGGCAGATATTCAGGTTGAGATGCCCTATGGGCAATTTGATATGCTGTTCAACTCATAAAAGAATTTGGAGATACATCTATATCTGTATCTATATAATTAGACTTAATGAAAGAGAGAGAGAGCGATGGTTGTCGAAGTGGTGAATGAGTTCCCTTTCTGTCATCCAATGTGAATCCTTTTGTTACCTGGCTGCAGTTACTTTCCATGTTCAGATTTATTCTATATTCCAAATCATTCATCTTTAAAATAACAAATATAGCAATGCTTGTAACTAGCAGACTAGAGATGGTGGGTAAGAGATAGTGTTGGAATTGTTTAAACCTCCCAATTGTATAGAATGCACAATAATTTGCACCTGTATAGGCCTCGGATTTCAGCGCCAGAACCCATGAACAAGCCATCAACCAGTGACCAAACCTAATTCCAGAGTATGGCTGTTACATTGGCCTGATTCCTGCTGCCAACAATATGAGCATGACTGGTGGTCCTCTGACAGCCCCACTGACTATTGAGTCCACCCTAACTTAACCTGTCTGATGGCTTTGCTCATTGTTGATCTTCAGTCCATCAGCCTGATTCCCTTGATTCTGGGATTGGTGTTATCAGAACAGGTAACAAGTGTCTCATCATACATTCATTTTGAGTCCTGGATGTATAACAGATGCTCCAACTATGTAAGCAATATCTTGTCAAATATACTGAATATTAAATTAATTATTTATAATCAGAATGGCTTTGGTGTGCTTAACTAACATTCACTTCTTCTCCAGCCTTTGATGTACATGAGAACCAATTATTTTATCTGTCAAGTTGAATTTCAGTAGTTTTAACTGAGAACTTCCTTCCTCAAACTTTCTAGAAATCTCTATCACATAGCTAATAACTTGATTGCAAGTCATCAAGTATATTCTGTTACAACTAAATAGTTAAGAAGGCTTAACCAAGTCATTTAACAAAAAGAAATGTAGGAGAGCACCAGAATTGAAGAAAAAAAGTAAAAGGAATAATTAACATGGAGAAAGAAAAATGGGAGACACACATATACACAAATGGTGTCCACAATGAAATTGAGAGGGAAAAGATCAAAGGAAAAAGGAATTAAAGAATAAGAACAAGAGGTAAGAGAAGTACAAGGGGCATATAGGAGATGACAAAAAGAAGAGAGAAAATCTGCATATTTAAAGCTGAACACTTGGTTTGATTTTAAACAGCAGAAACAACAATACTGATCTGACAGATTAAAAATGAACTGGGTCAGCATTCCCCAGTAGATATTCCCATCTATTTTATCTTCAAAGATAGTTTCAAACATTTTGCTTGGGGAAAAATCATCCGTTCCAATTTTAGTTCCCATTTTTGGAACATGTTATCTCAGAACATTTGAAATGGAATTGCTTCCCTTACTATTTTTATTTTCTTATTTGTCAATCATGAAATGGCATATGCAATCTCTCACAACCATTTTTCAGGAAAACATTTACATCAATGATTATTATGACAAATACTCAAGAAAGTAAACGACCTAGATCTTCTCCTTTCTCCACTCTGTTTAAAACAAAATTCAATACAGATGATTCTGTTATGGGAAGATACCTTTATGCTCAATATCACTTAGGATAACACATTCCTACAGTAGACATAGGAATTAGCAGTTTCTCAGTACAGCATGGCATAAATGTTGCTCTCCCTTTGGACGAACTCAGTTGTCCTCTCTGATGCTGGGATTCATTCCTGGACTGCCATAACCCTTTATCATTTGCACATGGTCACGTGAAACTTCTCTACGAATCACATAGACTTTCTCACCAAGTGGCACGGACCGGGGCACGTACATATTGGAAGAGTGTGATGTTCCCTGGTTTTCTATTGAATAATTATATTCTTTAGTACATGTAGAAGCACTTGAGTGAATAATCATGCAGAGCTCTTTAAAAATAAAGCAGAATCTGGAAGGGTGATGTGAAATTTTTCTAATTGCTCTTTGGTGATTTGGAAATATGATACAAACATGACTACTAGAAAGATGTGCAGAAGGAAGAGCTATTTATTTACTCTCCTTCCCACTTCCAGATTCTCAATTAAGAGTATATCCAGATACAGATTGTGTTACGCCATTCTGCCCAAGATGTTATATATGGATAGTGATTTATTAATTAAACCCATTCCTTAATCCATGCCAATATTATTATATACATATATTTCCTGCAACGATTAAAAATAAACATAATACATTTGAGAACTTTAACATACAAAGATGTTATAAGAATTTATATTGGTTATTTGCTATTTCTTGTCCACTAGTGCTATTTTACAGTTCCTGAAAGAATACTATGTACTTTGCATTTTTTTTGAGTTATCCCTCCCCCTACTGACATTACTTTTACAAAAATGGTTTATTGACTAGAGGGCCAATTGTTCAGGAAATATAGTAAACTCTGAGTATAAGCAGCATTAGAACAAACAGAAAAAACAAATGGAGCTGTCATTATAATTATTCTGAAAGATGATATCACAGTTTAAGTATTGGTGGACTCCGAAGATATTCTCTTGAGCCTCTGAGGTTCAGAGATGCCAATGGACAGAAGAAACAATGTAAATCCAAAACCTACTGTTACTGTACATTCCCAAAACAGCGAAAACGAACTAAAACAAAGTTTGAGTTACTTAAATACTTAACAAAAATTTATTGCAAGAGATATATTTCACTGAATTTACAGTTTCAAGGAACATGGTACAAAACGTAGTGCCATCAGCTTTGTCTAAACATTAAATAGGTGCAAATACACAAAGATTTAAAAAAAACCAAGGAACATACTTTACAACATAAATTACAGTACTATAAATATATCTTATGTACATTATACATACTCTTAAGACACCATTTTAATGTACAGCGTATATTGTATTGGTTTTCAAACTATTCAGTGCCTTAATAATATTATATATCAGAAACTTAATAATTTATTTGCATCATTACACTTACAGTAAATGATTTCCTATCAATGAGGCCATAGTTTGGCTAGTTTATTTCCACCATTTCAATAGGCAATTATCCACTTAGATGAGCGTTGACGCAGATAGCAATAGGTTTCACGTGAACATTTTCTCTCCCTTTCATGGCGAGGACTAGAACAGGGGTTGCAGTGGGATGACAGTAGGGTGTGGGGCAAGCAGTGAAGGGAAGAGGGCATGGGGTAAAGGTGGGAAAGCCAGATGGCTAGGATGAAGAACGGACGCTGGAATGATTGGCATCTGAGGAGGAGCCACAAAAGTTGGCTGGTTCCCAGGACAAAGCCTTGGTCCGACCGGTCCCACTGAGATCTGAGGTAACGCTGTTCTGGTGAGAGCTGGGGCGTGGGAAAGAAACTGTTGGTGGGGCTGAAGCACTTTGAAGGTTCCTGCGGCCGCAGCGGCGGCGGCGGCGGCGGCCGCCGCCGCGTGCTGCTGCAGAACCGCGTGGTGCAGAGTGGTTACAGAGGTAGAACAGAAGGGCTGCTGCAGAGGCAGAGGCTGCAGAGGCTGCAGAGGCGGGCTGGGCGGGGGGAGGGCGGCCGGAGCAAAAGTAAACTTGACCTTGTTGGCCAGCATGTTGGGCGGGAGGATGTGCTGGTAGACCTCACAAGGCAGATTTCTGAATTTATCGTGGTTTTCTATGGGGATCAGCAGCGCCTGATCCGGCAGAGCTAATGGAGCCAGGATTTGCTCCGTCGTTACGAAGGTGTGACCGCTGACATGTGCTTCCTTGAACGGTAATGGTGGCTGTGTGTTAAGGATTCCCGAATTGAAACGCAGCCACTCGGTCGAGGCCTCGTTCACCTTTCCTTGTGGAAGGGCCTCTGCCAGTTCGTAATGGCAGAGGTACGATTTCGGTTGCGACTGTCTGAAGTTCCTGTCGGTATTAGGCACCTTGAAAGGAATTTGCTTTTCATGAATATTTATACCCTCACCTCTTTCTTTCTGTTGCAGCAAGGTATTGCCAATTTCTTCTTTTGTTGCGGCACTGGCTACGTGGTAGACAGAGGTGGCGCGTGGGTGGGAGATGTCCCTCGAGTCCCCAGAAGGTGTCTCCAGCACTGATTGCGCAGCCTCACCACAGGCTTCAGGAGGAAGGGGACCGCCCAGGGGCAAAGTCGCCTGGTTTTCTTCTCCCTCTGCTTCTTCTGAGTTCTTCTCAGCATTCGCAACTTCTTGTGGTTTTATGTCCCCTGTTTTGTCTTCACTTACTAACTCCTCCTGGTGACATAAGGAAGAATTGCCCTTCTTGGGATGATCTGTGTTCTCTTTGAGTTCCAAAGCTTCAAACCCGATGTGGAATCTGCTTCTTTTTCTCCTCCGTTTCCTTTTAGGCTTGCAGGGAGCGGAAGCACGTGGGGGCCTCAAGAATTCTTCTGGTAAATAATTCTGTCGATTTAAACTTTCATCCGAAGAATAAGAATATGAATGTTGTCTACGTTTTCGATGGAATCTTTCTGATTCATTAATGAGAGAATTATAACCTCTTTTAACAGCCTGGTTCTGGCTCAGGCAGCTCATGTCGTTTTGAAGAACTAGGCATCTGTGATCCTGACTACAGCCGGATATTTTGGCTTTCCAACTACAGTAAGTTCTGGAGTAAGTTAAATTATGTTTTCCAGACTGTATCACTGTTGGATTGGATTGTTCACTGAAAACAACTGAGCTCTTTGTACAGTGGTTTTTAGAACTGTTAGCGTCATTGCTATCATTTTCAGTGTTTTGAGCTTTACACATTTCTTCATTTTCACTTAAGTATATGGTTGATGGTTTGGGCCTTTTATCAGGTAATTGTTGTGAGTCTAATAATTGCCCTGCAGCTAAATACTGCTTTTCTGAAATTGTTTCCAGTAGATTCTTCCTAGTTATATCAGTGTAACTGTTTTCCGTTTCCATTTGGAAGTGAATTTCCGACTCTTTGGTTTTCTCCCCATGATGGTGCTGACATAACTTTTTTCTTCTTTTCTTCCTTCTACTTTTATGGAACCAGTGTTCATGAGTATCTTTCAATCTTATTTTGTGATATTTCTCATCTAGAGTGCCCTGTTTCATTTGACATTTAGTAAAATTGTATTTTTTTGTGTTTCTGATCCTACAGGAAATATTTTTATACCTCTGACCCATATTCCCATTTTTTCCAGAATTACAGGTATTGGAAAGAGTACCACCAACCAAAAAAGGAATGACCTGGGTGCATTGATTTCTGCTGCCCCCAGTGTCATAATCAGTGAGTCCTACAATAGGTGTGTCCTTGCATTCTGAAACTGGTCTCTTGCAAATGTCTTCTCCCTTCTGCTGAGAAGAAAGACCATTTATCGGCAGTTTATTCTTATCTAGATTGTTGTTTAATTTAGTGGACTTGAAGTCAAAACAAAGAGGGTTACAGCTATAGGAAATTGATGGCTGAGTCGATGTATAAATCAGCATTTCTGATGGCCACTGAAGAATTGTGGTTCCATCTTTGTTAAGTACGGGTACAAATGGTTCACATGGTCTTTTATATAAATCTTTTTTTTTATGGAAAGTTATATTTTCCTTTTCAGAATTTGAAGGGGCCAACATCTCAGGACCATAATTTTTATTGTCAGCTTCAACTATAGATGTATCATGGTCCTTAACATTTTCCTCTGTGATAGCTTGCAAAGATATGCATTCATTAGCTATATCGAGAACTGTGGATTTATTTCCTAACAATTCGGAACTGTTATCACTCATAGGTATGCCTTCATTAATAATAACACTGCCCAGTGGTATTTGATCTGCTAATGGGATTGAATTTTGGCAATTATCTGCATCCGAAGATAAAGGGAGTTGAAACTGGCAAAATGAAGGTAATAAAAATGTATCTTTTTCACTAGAAACTTCTTTCATCTCTTGAGTTTGAGCAGTTTCTTTCTCAGTGCACATTCCTTCTGGTGGATGAAAAGAGTTAGCTTTCTCCTCAGAACTCAAAAGCACATCTGTTGGTGAAGATAGTTGAAGATGACAAGTACCAGGGACAAATCTACTTTTTCTGCTAAATCCTTTTTCCACAGAGGCATCATCATTGTATTCAGAGAAGGCTGCAGCTGAGGACTCCAGCTTCACTGCTGCTTTCTTTGGAAATGCAAAAGAAAAGCCAATTTTGTGTCTGTGAATTCCTTGGGCTTGATCCCCAAGTTGGTTATTTTTTGCTGTATAATTATTTGCACTTTCTGGATCTTCAGCAACAGTGGTAACATCTTTAGTATTCTCTTCACTATGAATCAAAGTATATTTGAAATCTTCCTGGTTATTAACTGAATCCACAGCAACTCTTTGGGAAATTTCATCACAATTTTCTTTCACAGTAACAGTTGTTGACTTGAACATGGGGCCACTTCCAGGAGCACTAGAAACAGAAAAGTACATATTAGATAGGACACTTCTGAAGAAAAATATTCAAACACCCCATTTCAGACACATCATTATAAGATTTCTTTTTCAAATTTTAAGATCTGTATAGGAGAATTACTTTCATTTCGTAAGGTTCTCTTTCATAGTGCTACAGTTGCATTTAGTTACTGATTATTGTTTGGGATAACTTGGAGAAGCTGTCTTGAAGTTATTTCTATAACTATTAACAGCAATGTCAAGGACATTCCTATGTTCTCAACCAGTGCTTCCTGACCAAGGTTCTTTATCCCATGGCCTCCTCAGTGATATTTTGGAATATTGTAGAATCTCTAAAGTTATCTAAATTTACAAATACTTAACATCGTTAATACTACATGGAGAATATGAAGACAGCTTTAAAAAATTATAACTTCAGAAGGGCTGGGAATTCGGTTCAACAATTCAATTCAATCAATGTTCACTAAGAGTCTACACCAGGCCAAGTAGAGTCCTGCCATGCAAAATTAACTGAGATAATACTGGCTTTAGAATTTTATTTAGAATTGCTATTCTTAATATTTAAAAAAAATTACCCTGAAGTTGTAAATAATATAATATAATAGTAAGTGTAGGACAAAAGACTATTTACTTAAGATGCAATTTCTATTTATTTGGCATTGCAGGACACCATAAATAGTGAGTTTTTCTTAAAAGAACTGTACTGTGTGGCATATAAACAAGGAGTTACCTAAATATCATCTTTACCCAAAGAGAGTCATGCTGTGCAGAATTTTCCATTCTATTAAATTTAGTTTCTTAGAAGTTCCAAGTGTCCCCCAATATTTTTAGTTGAATGTTTTCTTTATTGAATCTCTAACACAATGGATTGTTTCACTGCACATCTTTAGAGGCCTCAAATTAATAGGAAAAGTGTGTGTGTGTGCGTGTGTGTGTAATACGAAATAAGTACTATTACTGAGGAAAGTAATTTAGATAAGAAGTTTTGCTCTTTTTTTATACATATCTTATTATTAACTCTAGTTCTCTAAATGTTTCAGAATTTACATTTGCAAATGCTACTTCTAGGACATTTAATTGCATGGGCCCTATGGTTCTCTATAACATTAACTTGAAGTTCTATAATTTTTCACTTACTGCCACACAGAGAAAAAAATATCTGTTGGTATGACTGAATAGCAGTTATATTGGTCTTTGATAGTTCCCTAGAGGATTAAAAATACATTAAATTTTATTTTGAGTTTTTCAAATTTGACATTCCAAAGAATGTTATGATATACCAATATATTCCCCAACACTATATTCAGCATAAAATAGATTTGCTATGAAATAGTTTTGTTTTAAACAAAAAAAGAGGGGCCTATTTGTTTTGGGGTGGAGGGAGAGAACACTCTAAAAAGTTGTCTTCTTTTTATGACAGTTCCCTGTCCTGTATTGTAAATTCTGAATTATAACATTATAACTACACACTGGAGAAGCAGGTCAAAGTGTAAGAGCTTTGAACTTCTAACAGTTATTACTGTTTATTCACAATGAAACTAATTTTGAGCTGCCTCTGCAGTTCACAGGGCCTTCATGATCTTTATTTTTTTTAAATAAAAGATACTTTCAAATAAAAGTCCTCCAAATTTTCAATTATAAATAATTTTCTCTTAAAACTCCTTTTATAATAAAGGTCATGAGATGGTGCTTTGTTCTCTTCTTCAATCAAATATTTTGAATTTCCACCAAGAAACAGAAGAGGTTTCAACTAAGTGTAAATAGCAGAGCAATGTGAAATTAATTTTCTTGAAAACTAAAATTATAGGAATGTTGCCTTTTTATTGAAATGTATATTAAACAGGTGTTTGCATTAAATTCAAATTCAAGTTACTGTTTACAGCTCACAGAAAGCCATGAAAATGTGAGTGCCTTATTCTGGGTACAGAAATAAATAGATTTGCGCCCTTTATTTCTATGTCTTTTTTTTTTTCCTTTGGTCATCATGTTTTAAGAAAAGTTAAGCTTTTATTGCACACTCACCACACAGTTTCCTTTCTTAGCTCGGCCAGCTTGTGCAGGCGTTGGAGTGCCTTTTCCTGTTTTCTTTCATCTTTCCTGGATTTAGATGCTACATTTCGAGCAAATTCCCTTTGTTTCAGTTCTTTGAGCCTCTATTAAGAAATATGGAAATGATTAATAGTATTTGGCTCTATGGCAATGTTAAAGTTACTATTGTTACTGTTGGAATTTTCCAGTACATTATTTTTTACCTCATCTAAGGAAAAGACATTTGTGACAACTCATTTCTAGCAAAAATATTTTTTGTATCTTTGGCCTGTGAAAATACCAAAGCATATTATTACATTATATCAAAGATATATCTAAGCTTTATATAAATTGGAATTGAAAATTTTCATTTTTCTTACTATTTTCTGCTAAGGTGCCTAATTCTGTGCCTAATTCACATCAAGTACTAGAGTCTTGTAAACTCCTAATTTTCAAACAAATTTAACTAGATTGTATATTTCAGTTATATATAATAAGTATCATCATTTTGATGTGCTATATATTAGAAAAGTATCTGGTCCTTTCCATATTTTCTAAGAATAAATGTTTTATGTTAATCCATAAGGCAAATAATCTCTACTAATATGCTTTAAAACAATCCCTCCCCTCAAATATCAGGCCTATTTCCCAAATAATTCAAGATTTGGGAAGAAAATAAATAGTGCTCTTTTCGAAATTCTTTTTACATCGGGCATATTTTCATCTGTATTAAAGGGGGTCAGTTTTTGGATTGAAAAGTTTTGGCCGGGAAAAGCATGTCAACTTGAATAGAATCAATAAATAGCCATGTATGTGGCATGATTTAAGAGACACCAAAGTGGTCCTTTGCCCCAAATATTTTCACTATAGTCTTCCACAGAGACAGTGTATGGTTATTAAAAATAATTAAAGTACTGGGGCGCCTGGGTGGCTCAATTGGGTAAGCATCCAGCTCTTGATCTCAGCTCAGGTTATGACCTCATGGTTTGTGGGTTAGAGCTCCATGTCAGGCACTGCACTGACAGCACAGAACCTGCCTGGGATTCTCTATCTACCTCTCTCTCTCTGCCCCTCCCCTGCTCTCTCGCTCTCAAAAATAAATAAATAAACATTTTTAAAAAATAATTAAATTACTATTTTTTCTGGGGCACCTGGGTGGCTCAGTTGGTTAAGTGTCTGACTTCGGCTCAGGTCATGATCTCACAGTTCCTGTGTTCAAGGCCTGCATTGGGCTCCATGTTGTGGGGAGGCAGCTTGGGATTGTCTCTCTCTCTCTCTCTCTCTCTCTCAATAAATACACTTAAATTTTTATAAAGTACTATTTTTTTCTTATGAATGCTCATGGTGTTATGCATTGTGATATGTCAGAGTCTTCCAGTAGGACACTAAGAGAATAAAATATACACTAATCACATTTTTATTAAGTGATTGAATAAAATCTTAATAAATGCCTTATACGTGTACATTGACATATTCCAGGGGCTTGGAACAATGCTTGGTATATACAATACCTGCTTAATAAATATTTGTTAATTTATATGTGAATCAGATTCTCCAAAGTAGGAATTTTCCCACCTCAAAAAAAGTTAGTCATACTGATGAAATAATGTTGGATCCCAAACGATCTTGCATTATGCCTACTTAATTTCACCTACATGGTATGATAGCTTAAGCTTCAGATAGTCTCTACTATTTTAACTGATGAGATTTATATGAGGTGTGTATATATACATATATATATAAGATTATTCCAGAATAATTCTTTTGAAATAATGTAGATGATATTTTTGAGAATGCTTCTTTGACTGACATATCTGTGAAGAAAACTATTTAGAGTTAAATTTAGATAAAAGGTAGATCATGTCATAAACATCTAAATTATACAAGTATTTTAAAGAAAATAAAACTTTCATATCATTGTTTTGGTGCGACTATTAAAAGTAGCTACATTTTTATAATATGCATTACATTATTATTGATCATAAAAAAAGATCTAGAATTAGAGTATAATAGGCCGAGGAAGTTTTAGCTCTAAGTTTTAGGTATTTATAGTCTTGGACATCTCTATTTCCTAAAACTTTGAAGTCATATCAAGACTTAATCAATAGACAATTATTGAGCAGTAAAAACAGCCATTCTGTTTAAAGGCTAGGGTTTTTTAAAAAAGATTAAAGAAAATGTTTTTACCTTTCTCTGGTTTATGTCTGTATGTCTGTAACTGTGTGGGTAAGTGTATTTGAGTGTATGTGTATTTGGATTTTGCAGAAAAAAGAACACAGATAGGAAAAGATAACAGCAGTTATTGGTTGAGTTATTTTATTGTGCAATATAAGGGCGGAACTGGGGTGCCCAAAAAATCCCAAGAAGGTTACCTGAGAAAAGTGACATCTGATGTGGGTCTTCAAGGATATAAAAAAGCATGAAGAAGAAGGGACAGATGTTGGAAGTAAGAGAATATTTCAGGAAAGTTTTGTGTAAATGTAGCAATAGGAGCATGCATATTCTAAAAATGAAATGCAGGTAGAGACAAGTATGGTTAGAGCAGATTGTATGTGTGGAAATGATGAGAAATGATGAATTACAAGGTCTAACCAAACCAAACCTGCCTATCATATTGTGGAATGTGATTGGAGGAAACACTGAAGGATTTTAAACAATGCAGTGTTACAATGGAATTTTCATTTTTTCAAGAATCATTTGGCATCAGTATGCATGAGATTTTGCCATGGAACAAGATTAAAGAGAAAGACATGCGTAAGTAGGATATTACAATGGTCTAGGTAAGAAACATTAAGAGTCTTTCCTAAGGTAGTTGCAGTAGGGAGGAAAAAGTCGAATTGGTGACTTATTCGATGTGCAGAATTGAGTGGCCTAAAAGGATATGCATTACCTTTACTGAAAATACTACCTGCCATTGTAAGAAAGAGGCATTCAATCAAGAGGGTTTGGGTGCTAGGAGGTGGATGCTAACAGAGAATTTGAAAGAAAATAAAAGTCAAGTTCTCTAAAATAAACATTTAAAAGAATCAAAGTGCCAAAGAAAGCAAAAAGATGTTGAAATACCAATGTAAGAACTAATGTTCAAATAATTTTTTAATTATTTATAAATAATGGTATTTTAACAAATAGGGCTAATTTTATGTCCTACCAGATCCCTTGGGAAACTAGAGACAATAAACAAGAAAGTTAGACTTGACCATTTTTAACAAAATCTTTAGGATATAAATTAATTTCTATTATACACATTATATATATGTGTGTGTATATATATATATTAGAAAGCTAAGTTAAAAGTACAGTGCTTCTAACAAAAAACAAAGCTCTTCTAAAGCAAGTATATGAAATGTCAAGAATTTCACTATACTGTTTCAAATTAGCCATTATGATTTGAATTAACTTGTTTCCATTAGCATAGTTAAATATCAAGGAGTCCATCAATTATCAAATGCCAGTACTGTTATATTTTCTGTGAATAACTGAGTGATTGACATGGCTGGAATCAGACTTCGGATGTGCATTTAGAGAACTGTGTATATTTACAATGTAAATGTTGCTTTAATCTTGTAGAGGTTGTTAAGAAGCACCACGCTACATTCAAGTGTTCCTACTGATGTCACTCTCCCTCTATGTACACATAATTCTCGCAGTGACACACTTCCTGATATCAAGGTATCAGGAGCTTGATAAGGTAAACGAGCTTGACTAATATTGGTGGTCTCTTTAGCTGCAGAGCTTATAGGCCTGGCCAAATACTTTGGTTAGTTTAAGCTGGAATTTATCAGCCATTATATCCTTTCTTGTATTTTTCTGCAGCAAAAATGAAGTCCTACATCATATTTTATATCTAGCAGAATAATTTTGAAAGGTAAATAATAGAAACCAAGTAAATTCTTTTGAGAATGCCAAATGAAAAGAAAACTTAAGTTCAAGTTCCACACAAAGAAATGTACAAGATAATACCTGGGAGACTTATGGAAATATCAATGCTATTTCAAAAGCTTTCTGAACAATTTATTGGCAGTCATTCAAAACAAATTCTTAGTGTTAAATGTCAAGATAGGGATGACAGTCAGCAAGAATTAGAAAATTAGAAGAATGTTAAAAAGAATTTGTGGGAAGATATGGTCTAGCTACAGTATTACAAAACAAATTACAGTATATAATGGCATATTATTCAATTTATATTTTGGAAATATACAAGTAGACAATGGAAAAACAAAAAGAATCAACAGCATTTGGTTATACTATCTCAGAGGGTCTACTCTACCTTTCACTGTTTTACTTCTATTAGTCTATTAAGAACCAAAATGTCACAATCACATAGGTCATTGATCCTCAGATATGGTCACAGGAAACTCATGTAGTTGGATGGTTGGGAAAGTTATGATGATCCTGGTCTCAACTTAGTGATGATGTTTTCAGAGACTGGCAAAGCCTTAAACAATGTGAGAAAGCTTGATAGAGAAAGAGAGAGAGGGACAGAGATAACCATTTAGATAACTCATCAGTTTGTGCTTAGCATTTAGGTAAATTAAACTGTTTTATAATTGCAAACCAAACTTTCATGAATATTCTCATATTTTGTACATTTGTCTAATTATACCCAAAAGATACATTCCCACACAAACAAAACTGCTGGAATAAAAGATATGTATTTGCCCTTTTTGAGGTTTTTCAAACTGCTATTCTTAACTTTAAACCATACTTGTATTCCTCCCAACAGTATATGAGAGTATATATCATAATCCAATACTGGGTAGCATCATTCTTAATTTGTTTAATTAATAGGCAATATGTGATATATCATTAATGTTTTGCCTATAATTCTTTTATTAAGAATGCTAGAATATTTTTGTATACATATTAGCCACCTATATTTCATTTAGAATTAATATTGTTCCTTAAAATTTATTAAGCAATACTGTGTATGTTACATTGTTTAGTTCTGAAAATAAACATATATGCAAACAAGGCTACCATTATGATCCATATTTAGAGAAGACAAAACTGAAGCTAAGCAGATTTTAGAAACTGGTCCAGAATCACATGAAATTCCAGGACTGGAATCAGGATTTCTGTGGGGAATAAGTTCTGTGGGGAAATTCCTTGAGCTTGCACCAATGGG